TATTCTCTTGACTCTCTTTCGATCTTTTATAAAAACTAAAATTTTACTAAAACTCTTGACGCTTTGTTAAAGCAAATAGTGATCATTTGCGAAACCCCAGTCAAAAGTTCCTGGGAACCCTAAGGATCCGCAGAACACAGTTTGAAGACCTCCGATTTAGAGAACATTTTTACTAAATAATTAATTTTTTTTTACTCACATTTTTTTCTCTTTCAAATTTCAACCCGGGCAGATAATTTCTGATTCCAAAAACTTCCATGAAACACCCCATCCCAACACAAACTCGAAAACTCATCACCCAGATCAAATATTTGACCGATCTTATACAATTCCCAAATCAAGCACCGGGCCCTTACCCCCTATTAACAAACCGACCATCCACGAAAGTATCCGATAGCAAGCCGAACAGAAAACCGTCACCCGATTCCTCCCCAGCAAGCAAAGAAAGGCCAGGTATACACACACACTTCAGAATAACGAACAAAACTTCCAGTAGGAACAAGAGCCAGTTAGATTATTCCATTCACGTACCCGAGCGGCAGCTGATGCTGGGGATGAGGAACGGGGAGGGCAAGGAACGACGCGTGCGATGCACGTGCCTCCCCTTCCAGGTCTTTTGTACCGGCGATGTGTCATCGTGGGGGGAGTCGCGATAAAAATGCTTGGAATTCGATGAGGGTTAGCTATCCTGAACGCGGAACCGTTACGTTTTCGATGCCTATCGGATGGATCACGTTGAAAATGCGCCCGTGGAGCACCCCCGTTTCAGTCTCGAAACGGTTTTTGCGAAATAAGGACGATGGGTCATATGAAACGAGTACAGGAGGATTAAACATTAGATGGAAAAGCCCTGACCACCCCATCTCATTAAGTGGGTCTATTATGAAAAAGAGTTCAGGAAAGGGTACACAATTACAATCTTTGTAAGAGATTTAATTATTCAAGGGTTATATAAAAGCAGTATTTTTTGTAAAAAAAATAAGACTGAGCAATGTTTTTTAAAGTCATATTTCAAAATTGTACTTTAAATATGTTGTTGTTGTTACTAATGCCACCTGATCGGCAAAGGCCAGATCAAGGCCCATGAAATTCATCATGGCAAAGGGCTAAGTGACGCCTGTCGTTAGCCGTAGCTTTGAGCACCATACAGGTGACAGTACGATTTGGTCCGATTCCACCCCAATTTAGAGGGAGAATACTCTGGGGGTGGTCAGAGGCCTTCCCGAAGGAACGATAGATGGCGACTCCACCTATCTCCACCTCCACAATTTAGGCATGAAACTGAATTGGAGGGAAATTTTCTCCAGTTTCCTGCACTCGTGAATCAGCCCACAAGGTTGATTGATTGAATATTAACGTCGCACTGTTCAGCTGCACGAGGGCTTTGGGCGACGGACCACATAATTTTGAACCATGGTCAGGTGACGTGGACGACACTTGAGCTGGCCCCCCTCTCTAACTACCACACCACACCAATGGGAGGATGTTTCAGCTCTCGACAGATTTAACGTGCATCGCTGCCCTACAGGGCGGGTTTTTAGTGGTACTGGACTCGAACTCGTGACAAGGCTAGCCACGGTCCGATACCTATACCACTCGGCTACCGCGGCCCACAAGACTTTCGGACCCACTGATTTAACGAGCACGTGCTCCGCGTGTACTCGAGGGTATTTCGCGGTACGGGCATCGAACCGGCCTTCCGGTCCGAAGTCCGGTGCTCTAACCACTAGGCTACCCACGGCCTACTTTAAATATTATTTACATTACTAAATTTAGTAAATTTTATATTAAAATTATAAAAAAAATGTAATAAACCTATATTAATTCAACTTTTTTTTTTGCCAGCAATCCAGCGAATTTTCGTTTTGTTCATCATATATATATTTCATCTATGTGTTTAAAAAATTTTGTATTCGTTCGCAAGGAGTATTTATAAAAGGTTCTATTACTTTATAATTACATTTATTGCTTAAATTAATGATTGGAATAAAATGTTGATTAGAAAATGGAACAGAAATGATTTCTAATCGTACATTCACAATAAACTGAATCTAAATTTAACAATGTAAATCGTTATAAGAATAAAGTTTTCATGTGTATCTTTCAAATATATTTACGAGTTTGGGAATCTGGACCAAAGTTGGAAGAAAAAAACATCTTATTTCATAAAAGATTCGACGTTCGGAAACGTGATATTAAAAAAAGCGTATAAATGAATAATTTTTTTGAAATTTAGTGTCAAATGGATTAGAATTATACAAACCAACTTCAAGAATATTATTGTAATAAAAAATTTAAATACAATTTTTTAGCAAAAAGAAAGAATGAACGATATATTTTCAAAACATTCCTCTTTTACCAAAATGCTTATATAATAATATTTTGCCTATACATAGCTAGGACAGGTAATTTAATTATTTGTTATTAATTTATTTTATTAATTAATGCCAATTATTTATTCAATAATGCATTTTTTATTGTTTTTTGTTCACGACAATCGATAAAATCAAAATATGTTGAGCGGCAAACATGTATGTATGATACGAGAATGGTGAACTTTCGACCCTGGATCCCCACGCCCCCTTGAAAAATCCCAGTGTGAGCCACTGAGGAGTTGAATTAAAATTTTTTTTAGAAGTACACATTTTTTTATAGTTAACAAACAATTGAAATAATGACGTTTATTTTGGGAGGGTTGTTAAAATTTCTCTCTACTCCGATATTATAAAATACGAATAAATCCACACACATAAAAGTACATATTCACTAAAGTAAACACATTTAAGAAAATTTAGTTCAACCCCAGTACAAATGTAAGAGCAATATATAGAGGAAATATTAGTATAGAAGCATTTTTCATAAAGGGACAATTGAAAAATGCCATTCTTTATTTTTTGCAAAAATGCTTTTAAATAATTTTTTATAGCAATAATACTCTTAAAACAACTTTATATGAATATTCTAATTCAAGTTCCACTTAATATCGAAAAAATATTCATTTATATCAGTGGCGCACATAAAAAATTTTCAAGGTGGTGGTGGAGGGTCCAAGATCGAAAAGCCACTATTCTTGTGTATCACACCTCAATAAGCCACCAAACATATTCTTTTGATTTTGTCGATTTCGGAGAAGTAAAAAATAAATTACTGAATTAATATAATTAGCATTAATTAGTAAAATAAATTGTTAATAACAAAAATTTTATGCACTATATACATAGGATTATGATTTTGAAAAACAAATCAAGGGCTATGGGGGTCCGGACCCGTGCCTCCCCCTTATGTGCGCTACTGATTCATATGCTTTTTCAAAAGCACGGTTTTGCCTTAACAGTCGCCTTAACAGAAAAATAAGTTTCATGATATGTCATTGCTGATAAATATTAAAAACTATTTTATCCAGTCTGTGATAAAAAATTGATACAAACACGGGGATTTATAAAGAATGCACAAAACAAAACCTGTCTGGAATGAATATTTCACCACTGACGTCATTAACACTTTTAATACTGTCTCCATTTTAATATTTCATTGCAGAAGTATCATTAAAAAAGGGAGGAGAGATCAGCATCATACAATAAATCATTTACTCAAACCCCTTGTGGCAACTACTTTTTAAAGTATTCAGATTTATGTGTTGTGTCATCTTTCAATTACATCTTTATCAAAGTATAAACATTCAAAAGGTCAATTTTCAATTTAAAAAATATATATATATAAACATAAATATAATTTTACGAAACAGACGACATCGAACTTCCCGACGAACATTAGTTCGTTAAACCCGGGTCTAAATATCTTTTAACAACTGCATTTTACTCCAATTTAGAATGATGACAATATCAGACGCCGAACACCTCCATCCGCTTGCAAAAGAAAATAGTTCTTCCCCTCTCATTAAAAGAACTTATTTCACAATCAATTTGTCACGAGGAAACTAAAAACATTCGCCTTCTGCGAACGGTTTAAAGAACTTTTGCCGGCTATTCATCTTGGAGAAGTTAGTGTTTAAAATTAACTCTCGCTCCGTATGTATAGAGAAAGATGGCGTATTTATTTTGCTACGTATAAAATATGTTTTTCTTTGGGTACAGAAGTCGTTTGATAGCTTTTTTCTTTTTCTGTCCTTCAAGCCCAGAATTTTCGGAAGAGCTTGTTTGTACTTACCGAAAATCAAACAGAACTTTGTAAAAATTTTAAGAAAATTCGCGTAATAATCGGTAAATATTTGACAACGATAATGATGAAAGATCTTTGATCAAATGTTTGTTCAACAACTGCTGAATCTGTCGAGTCTAATACTTTTAGAATATTGTTGAATGAGAAAAAAAAAAAAAACTGGCGAATGAAAAATATTTTCTAAGCAAAAACAAATTTCTTGTCCAGTAATATAACATTAGTTTTGTGTGATTGCGAAAAACTATCTTTTAGTATTTTTGGAGTTTTTAACTATTTTTGATTCAAACTAAATCATTCTATTACTTCGTATTTTAATCGAAAATATAAAATAAAGAAAAGTAATAAAGATATAATGGTGAATATGAATAATTTATAGTCAAAATAAAAATAATTCAGAATTTTTCAAAACAATTGTTTACATGTTTTGCAAAGTATTTATTTCTTTAGTGGAAAATATTATACAGAAATCGGATGTGCTTTGTTCAAAATTGGTAAAGAAGCAAATAATTTATCTTGAAAACACAACAGGTTTAAGTAATTTAACTGAAACAATAATTATAAAGAAAATGACAGGGAAAAATATTCTTAACAAGTAATTTTTTTTTAAGGTCAATTTCTAATAAGTCAACAAAGAAAAATCTTATTTTAGTTACTTTTTATTAAATAATTACAATTAATATAAATATGTATATATATTTGACAGAATCACAATATTAAGTGGCAAAATAGAAGGCGATTTTCCTTTCTATATATGGTGTTGGACTATTACTTTTGTTTGTTACTATTTATTCATTCATAAATCACATTCTCAGAATTTAGGCCATCCCAGGTAGGATTCGAACCCATGATTTTTGGATTAGAAGTCCAACGCGCTATTCATTGCGCTACAGAGACACAACGAGCGATTTTCCATTTTATATATGATGTAGGACTGTTATATATTTTTGTTTGTTACTATTAATTAATATTTGACCTTGAGTGGATGAATAAAAAAGTATTTTATTGAAACTTTGAATATATATATATATATAAATAATAGATTGAAGTAGTGCTGGCCGGTGTAGAGTAAGTATCAATGCTGATTTAATAATGACGTCTTCAAGAATACTTTTACCTCATTATTATAAGCACATCGACAGATTAAAACATTACGTTACGTTAACATTGCATAGAATAGCTGGCGTTTTTGGAGGACACAAATAAGACAAAAAGCAGGCGAAATATGATTGACAATATTACGTGATGGTGACAAATTCATCAAGAGACGCGATTCTGAATTAGGCATTTTCAGCTTTGGCATCCTGATTGGCTAAAAATGCATCTGAGCTACAGAGCAATCGGTTTTAGCTTACGATGTAGACAATTTATTTTTAAACCTAATAATTAAATAAAAAATGGTTAAATAGATCATTAAAGAGCTTAATTAAAGTATGTTTTAGATGAAATTATCACAAAGGAGAGTGAAACTAATAGTAGAAATAGAAAAAATCAAATCGCGCTAATCAAAGAAAACTAGTTTACAAAAACGCAGAAATAAATTTCTGGGATATAGAAAAATACGATGTGATTTAACTGTAACATTAAAATGAACCTTCATTTTTAACAAATTTTATTTTTAAGAGAATGCAGAATTTTAGTCGAGGAAATGTTACTTTATTAGCTCCTCTTCCCGGTAAGAAATGGGGTTTTGTCATCGGATACTCGGCAACATAGCAGAAATGGAAATGCATCTTAGGAAAATGAATTGTTATGAAATATTCTACACCAAGCCAAACGTTTCCTTGAACTGAAGCATTATATGAATACATTAGGCAGTCAATAAACAGCTAGTCACAAGATTTTCACAAAAGTTACATTAATGAACCTCAAAAGTGTTGTCGAAAATCGTTGAGACATTTATCGCATCGCCAAAATAATCACAGACCACCATACTCGTAACGAATTAATCGACTTCCTCCCGCGTTTTCTTGAGCTCACCAAAGGATCCGTGAGGATGGCTTAGGATTTCCTGGGATCTCTAGTTGTCATGTAGCAAGAGGACACATTGAGAAAATTTACAGGGACGTTTTGATTTTATTTGTTTTTACTGGGCTTCGTTATCGTTTCGCGATACTGCTGAGTACTGACCGGAACTCCATGCGATAGGAATTCGATTAAGAGTGATTCTATAAAATTGAAGAATGCAAGAATACTTTGCCTGCAATACTGTGAGGATTTTTAAAAATTTTGTAGGTAATCTATGTGCTTTTCCCCTTTTCGATTTTGAAACGAAAGGTGATGGTATCAACTTTCGTCACCAGTTAGAATTGGTAAGAGAGAGTCATCCCAAAGCTGTTTCACGAAAAAAGTTTGTTTCATTGCTGAATTCAACGCAGTAACACACAATGCTCTCTCCAGAAACCTTTCCCATTCGCTAATGCAATTCACAACTTCCTATACCATCTGCCAAAAAGCATACAACACTTTACAGCTTTTCTTCAAAATTCTTGATTACTCATTGCTTTTGAAAGTAAAATGGACATGGCTGCTGCTTGGTTATCTTTTCTGTCGTTGTACTGGAAGAAGTGCAATTGAATTATCGGCACACCAGCAACTACATTTACCATGCACCAGTAGCGCACACAGAAATTTTTCAAGGGGGGATCCAGGGTCGAAAGTTCACCATTCTTGTATCATGACCTTTCGATTTTGTTGATTTTCGGGAACAAAAAACAGTGAAAAACTAATTATTGAATAAATAATTAGCATTAATTAATAAAATTAATCATTAATAACAAATATTTAATTAAATTTTACGTACTATATACTTAGAAATATAATCGGAAAAAATCAAAGGCTTTGGGGGTCCGACCTTTATGTCCTACTGCCATGCACGTCTTTTCTAAATATAGTTTTGGTGCAATATTCGTTGTCTCGTTATTTCCTGAATGTACCTAAACACAAGAAAATATTGATGACCGAAATAAAAATTTGTCTTTGATTACATTTAGAAGCAACGCATCTCGTGCTTTTGAATCCATGCTCAAATGACGAACTGGCACCCCAAGCCAACGTGAGAACTTTGGGACTGAATGAATTAAAGTGTATCACCTCCTGCTATACGACAAGTCTTTAATGGTATCAGGATTCGAACGATGTTTGGCCTAACAATTGCCAGCTCTGACAATTTAACATGTCATTATTAGACTAAAATGAAGCAATAAATAAGATTCAAATTTTGAATTTCGGTAATAAAAGTTCTTCTAAATCAATTACAGACAAGAATATACATTATCCTTTCCCCAATCATAAAAAAGAAAATTATATTATTTACAGAGCTCGATTAAGACAGTCTGGAGGAAACAAATTACAAAATTTTTCAAATTGCTGAAAACACGTTGACATCATTCCCTAAGAAAAAATAAATACCTTTCAGCACTGGCGTGGCTGGTCCAAAGTGGGCCCTGTATCAAAATTCCTCAAGGGCACCCCTTTTTGGAAAGAAAATATATGTGATCGCATTAATAAAACCAATTTGAATGCATCAAGATATTACACATGTTGGGGCCCCTGGAGCTTGGGGGCTCCATATTATTGAGACAGCGGTAGCTACCCCTTGCTTTTCAAAAAACTTCTACCAAAGCATCTTTCTATCATCAAAAGGTCAGGGAAATAAGAGTACCGTCACTATACGACCTCTACTCCGTAAAAAAAACCACTCAAATAAGAACAATCCACATAAAGCAATAACGGCCAAATCGCCTTAAAGGCCCCGGATTTATGGACAATGAAAACTAGAGGGAAGGTATAAGTAAACAGGAACTAAATACTAGGTTCATGTACACCCGGACAGAATCACCTGCAAGGCTCCTCAGCCGTCGTTCTTCAATCCGCGAGTATCCATCTACCAGAGATCCCCTACTATCTTTACAGTGAGCGGTGGAAAATAAATCTCACCCTCCCATTTCTATATTTAGAAGGGGCATAGGCTATCGCAACCCATAACGCAGGAGGTTTTCATAAGCTTCGAGGATTCAGACTGTTTGCTTTTTAAGGGGAGATCAAGCGTTATTAGATGGATACTTCGATCTAAATGGATAGTTTAAGCTTCCGCCTAGAGGGGTCATTTTCTGTTGGCTATGGGACACATAACAGATGGCTCCAATTTCAGTGATCTTCTAAGTATATTGATTCAAAAGCTTTTCATTCATTTTATTGTTAAAAAAAAAAAAGTAGGTGATTAAAGTTAACAGTGAACAAATACTTAAAGTTTTACTTTTTGTCCAGTTCAATTAAATAAAACTAAGATTAATAAAGTAACTGAGATTCAGAACAACCTTATATTACATTTAAAATTTAATATTGAATTTTTATTTGATTCTACTTGAACATACTCCCGAGCTTAACTTTGACCAACCAACATGTGTGAGTATAACAGGTTTAAATTTATATTACAATGATTAGTCTCTTCTCATTTAATTATAATAGTAAAAGATACCCAAGTGAAACATGGTGGAAAAATATATGCATTTTTCTACACAGATGTTTCATTGAAAGCAACACGAGATATTGGGGACGAACCTTATAATTTTAAACCACGTTCATACGAACAAAAGACTAGAGGTTGACACCACACTATCTTCCTCACATCAATCTCTTGAGTAACATGAAATTTAACAAGCATCAATCGGCCTCGCTATTCTCCGGTTACGAATCCGCTAACTGACGACGCCCCAAAACTTAATTCACTAAATTACACAGCGGGTGCCCGGTAGCCTGGCAGAAGACCAGGCTAGCGAAAGTTTGCATTTTTTAAAATACTTCTAAATATTTGATTATATTTATTTAAAAATTTTCTTTATCTGTATCATGTACAAAATCAAAAAATATATATCATTGAGGAGGAATTCAAAATCTTGAATTATATAAACAATTTTACGTTTAACTGAAACGAGAACACATCTAACTAATTGCACGTTGCAGGTAAAGTCTTCGATTATTAACGTCCATATATACTGTGATGCTGAAGAAAACCGAATTACTGAACATTCAGATTCTATTTGAATTACTTTTCTTAACGCATCAACTTTATCGCTTATAAACAATTCAATCAAAAACAATAAAACATAATAAAATAAAGAAAAACAGTTTTAAAAGTAAATAATTTTGGATTATTATTGGAATATTTTCTCTGTATAATACAAGGGATATTAATCAAATCAGTTACACCTATCGCGAAGTTTCAATTTTATTCAACAGATGGCAGCACCACAAACAAATGATATGAGGGATGGTATTTTTAAGTAAAAAAAGTACACCTTTTTTTCAAACCTTATAAGTTTTAATGTTTTTAAAATAGTTTTTTCCACTGTAGGTTTCCATAAAACAAAATAATAAAGTTTAATCCTTTAAAAAATGATGATATCAAAACAGAAATTCTAAAATTAATACTCACGAAACAAAGGACTAATTACCTCCAATGCATATCTCACACACACTTGAGAGTACTGCTCTAGCAGAAAAAATAGTTAAAAAAAATGTTTCTGTTTTAAAGCTAAAACAAATTTCTGACTGAAAATATATAAATTATTAAATTTGTAAAATAATTTTTTTTCACGACTATACGCGATTAAAACATTTTTACTAGACTTTTTTTCAGGAATAATTTAAATCTACGCAAATTACTCTCCAGTACATTATATCGTAACACCGAGGAAAATATTTTTAAAACATAATGTAACAAGCAACGGATATCTATATTCTTATGTGTAGTTATTTTAGCAGAGTAATCTATACATAATTTTTAAGAAAAAAATATTCAAATTGTATTTTCTTATTTCCTCTTAATACAAATAAAAAGGAAAGACCAGAGCCTTGAAATTGAGTTTAATTCTGCAATTGTAGCCCTAGGCCAA